TCAGCCATAGCATGACGGGACCACAACTCTCGTGTTAGACACGCAACACCCGCTGGGACATCCTGGTCAGAATCTGCACCCCAAGATATTTGAGAGCCAGCATGACAATTCCAATCCTTGGCAGCATGTCACCATCTCAAGATAAATGCCCCATACAGTATATACATCGTTAACAATGACAACACAAGCTATACATTAACAATTACGAACAAAGCTCAATATAAACCATACATTTGTAATAAAAGACTCGACCACGATATCTGGCTTGGTGTCCTTTATTCGGTTCGTTTGCTGTCTCCCACACGGCTGTCCTCCTTTGAGACTTTCCACATGGTGCCGACGCTGTTGTTACACCCGTCACCACTATCAGCCCCGCTGTTGGTCTCCGTCGCTCCCGTAGCCTCTTAGCAGCCTCGCTGCTGTTACTCTCACGCAGCCTCCCTGGCTGTACTCGCTGCAGCTCCTCCTCGTGTCGCTCCCGTAGCCTCGGACAGCCTCGCGGCTGTTTCCCTGTCGCTCCCGTAGCTCCTAGCAGCCTTGCTGCTGTCTCCCATACACAGCCTCCCTGGCTGTACTCGCTGCAGCTCCTCCACCGCTCTCCCTCTCCAGCAGCCCCACTGCTGTCTCCTCCCGCAGCTCCGCTGGCTGCTCCCGTGGTTGGTCACCGCTGATCGACGGTGGCACCCTTCCCTGGTTTCGCCCTGAGTGGCCTCACCCTTGCTCAGTCTCCCACTCTCCCCCATCTCCTTCAGGTTTCTCCCCTTAAGGACCCGAACCTTTCTCCCACATCACATAACTCCACCTCTCCATGATGTCACATCCGGAAGGTCGCTTACGCCCGCATTACACCACCCTCCCCCGTAGAGAAAAACCCAGCCGACCTCGGCTGAACAATACCAACAGTAATGTGGGCGAAACCGACCTTGACACACCAAAGGACACCAAGCATGCAATATAACAGTAAGAACAATCAACACAACATAACAATCAACGAACGTACGAGAAGCAGGCAATAAATATAACAGTAAGAACAATAATGCAACATAACAATCAACGAAACGTAAGGGATTTAGAACGTGTGCGGGTCGCCGGCCCGTCCCGAACGGTCGGCGGCCCACCCGCAGAGCGGGAACGTGATGGAGTTTGAGGAGTGACAGGGCGTAATCCTCCTGTCGATGTTGGAGGTCCACCAACGTCCCGTGTCCCTGAAGAATTAGCCCCGGACGTGTCCCGCGAATGTGCCTGCAGCGGGGTCGGAAGGGCCGCAGGGCCCGGAGTTCCCGCAGTCCTGGCAGGCACCTTCCGAGCAGGGCCCTTCGTCACCTGCGGCGTCACGGCCGGTCTGTCTGTTTCGGAGGTTCCTTGGTCAGCTTGTCCGTTGATGAGGCCTCCTGCTGCGGCGGACCCGGGATGCGGGCCCAGCAGTCCTTTGAGTAGTGGCCCCTCCGCCCGCAGCGGAAGCAGTCGACGTCGTTGCGCCGAAGCGCAGGCCTTGCATCCCGCCGGCCCCGTACCGGTGGTGCAGCGCGCGGGCCCGGCCCACCGCGTCCCAACCATGGACCGGAGGCGGCCGTCAGCTCCTGAGGGCCCCCCCCATCCGGCACGTAGACCGCCTTCGTAGGGTCCCAACCCAGAGCGCCACCCTCTGCGACGGGCCCCCCCGTCCACGCCGCGACTTGTTTCCACCGTCGGAGGTTGAATTGTGCATCCAGACATTTTGCCGCCGCCCGGGAAGTGAGCTTCTCATGCCCACACACAGGCATGGGAATCCCAAGATCCCGAGACAGCTCGAGCATCTTACCCAAGATGAGAGGCTCGAGCAGGTCCGGTGTCGTCTCTGGATATGCGGCCATAGCCAACTCCAGCACCGCACCCCTATATGCAACGGGCGATTCCTCGGGCGCTCGTTGTCGTTGAGCAAATCGCCGATGCGCATCGTCAGGTGGCTCGTAGGCGTCAGCCATTTCTTCAAAAACTCCACGTAATGTCTTCTTCTTTTCGGCCGTTATGGAACGAAAAAATCTAACTGATTCGTCGTCCAGAAGAGTCGGCAACACTTCTAAGGCCTCAGCATCGGTCCACCTCGCAGAACGGACCGCCGCCAAGAATCTGCAGGCGAAAGCGCTCCAATCGCCCCCGATGGCGAATTCCTTGACTGTGGTAAGATGGCGACTCCGACTTCTCTTTACTCCGTCCTCCACCGATGGCTCCTCCGGTGGTAAGTTCAAAATGGCGTCGAACCGCGGCGTGGTCAAGATGGCGGTTTCCCGCCGCGGAACGCGCAAGATGGCGGCCTCGTGCCGCGTGGCTGATGGCGTCGGAAGCGAAGACAATGTGGCGGCCTGTGGAGCACTCTCTGCTCTCTCCGTCGCCGTCCTTGGCGTGACGAGATGACTCAACTGCGCCAGGACGTCCTTGAGAGTCTCCAGTTGCTCCGCCATCTGCTGCCATCGTGGATCAGCGTCCGATGATGTTGGCGGGCCCGACACCGCGGCGACATCTTCAACTCCAGTCCCCGCGCTCGTTTCAGCAGGGCTCTCCTCCACCACCCCAGCAGAATCCATGGTTGGAGGGAGGTCGTCGTCGTCGGACGAAGAAGCCGATGCTGGCGCCGGAATAATTTTCTTTCTTACTTGCTTCGACATGCCGTTGCACTTCCGACACCAATGTAATAAAAGACTCGACCACGATATCTGGCTTGGTGTCCTTTATTCGGTTCGTTTGCTGTCTCCCACACGGCTGTCCTCCTTTGAGACTTTCCACACGGTGCCGACGCTGTTGTTACACCCGTCACCACTAACAGCCCCGCTGTTGGTCTCCGTCGCTCCCGTAGCCTCTTAGCAGCCTCGCTGCTGTTACTCTCACGCAGCCTCCCTGGCTGTACTCGCTGCAGCTCCTCCTCGTGTCGCTCCCGTAGCCTCGGACAGCCTCGCGGCTGTTTCCCTGTCGCTCCCGTAGCTCCTAGCAGCCTTGCTGCTGTCTCCCATACACAGCCTCCCTGGCTGTACTCGCTGCAGCTCCTCCACCGCTCTCCCTCTCCAGCAGCCCCACTGCTGTCTCCTCCCGCAGCTCCGCTGGCTGCTCCCGTGGTTGGTCACCGCTGATCGACGGTGCCACCCTTCCCTGGTTTTGCCCTGCGTGGCCTCACCCTTGCTCAGTCTCCCACTCTCCCCCGTCTCCTTCCGGTTTCTCCCCTTAAGGACCCGAACCTTTCTCCCACGTCACATAACTCCACCTCTCCGTGACGTCACATCCGGAAGGTCGCTTACGCCCGCATTACACATTGTTAACAATCACAAGCAAAGTTTCGCACACACATTGACAACACTCACGAGCGAAGCTCCACACAGTTTACCCAACAACAGTCACGACTCCCCGACGACAACGAAGAAAATGTCAACAAAAAAATCATTAATCCGGAGCGCGTAAATGTACGAAATGTCAGGGGCCTGGTCTCCCGACCTCCAACCTTTGGCCAGAGCAGCAAAGGCGGCGACCAGCGTGTCGGTCGATGTGCAGCCCCGGCGCCGGTTACAGTAAGAATGGCGCCCTCACTGTCCGGTCGCAGCGCTGATGACGTGGTATGCTAGGTTGAAGCCAGCTGTCGTCCGGCAGTAAAGGTCGCAGCGCTGATGACGCGGCGTTGCTAGGTTGCAAACAGCTGTCACCCGGCGGTGAGGGACGCAGCGCTGATGACGCGGCGTTGCTAGGTTGTAAACACCTGTCGCCCGGCGGTGAGGGACGCAGCGCTGATGACGCGGCATTGCTAGGTTGTAAACACCTGTCGCCCGGTGGTGAAGGACACAGCGCTGATGACGCGGCGTTGTTCAGTTGGACAGCGTTGAGGCCAGAAGTGATGTCACTCCCAGCGGCCATTGCTCCCCCCGCAGAAGTGACGACACACCCGGATGTATTTGCGGCGGGAACGGCTGCCATCTTTGTGTTGGAGCCGGCGGAATGGCGCGGCCGCTGCGCCGCCTCTCTCCCTCCTGCCTCCGCCTGTGAGCGACGCATGTCGTCCAGGATGGAGACGGTGGCGTGGAGCAGTTCAGTGAGGCGAAGCAGCGTTTCCTCCATTGCTGCTCCCGACACTGGAGGAGGATCGGCAGGTGTGGTGGACGACTGCTCAGCCGGCGGTGCGGCGTCGTTGTCGGCCCGAGTTGGCTGCCCCGTCGCCGCTTGCTCTTCAACATCGCCGTCAGGACTGAAGGTACGTGGCTCACTTCTTGTCTCCATTGCCACTTCTGACGCCAAATGTAACGGGTTCCGGAAACACTTGTAGAGGTAACTTTTTTATTACAATACAACACTCCAACAGTCCTGATACTCTGTTACAGCCTAGGTACACAGCCTAGCTACACAGCCTAGATACTCTACTCTGGCTACGCTCCGGAACTCGCCCTCACAAGGTCGTAGAGTCGGGAGTTCCAGAGTCCCAGCGCTGGCTCTCACAGCATCCCAGGGTCTTCAGATGGCTGGTCGTGGGTCTTGGGTCTTGAGTTACAACTGGGCCCTGATCGTCCAGGGAGCTCTCCTTTTATGCCTGGTCCAACGAGGGGTGGGGCCGTGTGCGCCACCAGACATCGCACAGAGCACACACAGCCCCCCCCCCCGTTGGCGGCGCCCAGAGGCTTAAGCGTCTGGACCCCCTGGGAACCCAACGCCTGGCGCCCAGAGGCTTAAGCGTCTGGACCCCCTGGGAACCCAGCGCCTGGCGCCCAGAGGCTTAAGCGTCTGGACCCGCCCGGGAACCCAGAGCCCTCAGCAGCCCCTCCCTTCTTATGTCACTACATATGTATTTTATCAACCCTGGAAGGATGACCAGAGGAATTAACCCACAGCGACGATTTGGTACCCGCAACCTTTTAATTGCGAGCCTCAAGCTCTACAACTGAGCGACCTGGCCAGTCACTTTGCATGCACATGAATGTGCACTCGTAGGGCGTGTAAACGCGCGTAAATGTGTGTACGTAAAAAAGTGTTTCTACTGCCGAGGATACTGCAGCTGCTCCATGCCTTCCTTGTCGAGCGTGCCCTTCGTGTTAAACAACAGCGTGGAGCTCAGCAGCATGGCCAGCACAAACAGCCATGTGTCATGCTCACTGCCCGACTGCAAAAAAGCAAAAACACAAAACAATCACGTTTTTGCCAAATACATCTGTTGTATCATCCAGTTCATTCAATCAAGCCGTTAATATTCATCACATAAATGGATACTGTATATGTTACATGCGTACTGTTTGTAAGCGTGTCATTAAGGGTTTTCTTTGTGTACCACCTCAAGGGATTATCCAGATGAAATATTGTAATTCATAAATAAAATACAAGTTATACAGGGTGTACGTCAATGTATCACCCATTATTAAATAATTATCACGAATCAGCATGTTGACCCACCTGGTTCAATGATGACGTTAAATGAAACAAAACGTTCGAGTGACCTTCAACAGCAAACAACGGAAACATCAATCACAGCCGAGACGTTTGCGGAGACCTGGCACTCTCTCCAATCTCGCCGTGCCGTGCGTCATCGACGTCACGAATGTGTGGTGGTGATGTTGGAACGCGCGCACACTGAACCCGGGTGAATCACAGTACTTACCGGTGCAGGGTGGTTGTGTTATCGCTGCCCAGGGCCCCTCCTGAGGGGAGGGGGCTGTGGGGTGTGTGTGATCCCACAGAAACCCGCCCCTCAGTGTGGAATTGTATAAAAGGCGGGACCCTGAGAGCAGAGAGGTAGTTCAATCAAGCCAAAGACGAAGAACCAGCTGAAGACTGAAGTCCAGCTAGATAGACCCTGGGACTCCTCTGACCCGCTGCCCTTCTAAGGGCTGGGCAGAGCAAGCCAGTGGTATGACCCCAGAGCCGCGAAGGCCGATGTCCTTTTCAGGGCCAGATTCGTGTGGCTGGTGGTCGAGAACTGTGCCGAAGCTGGGCCAGGTCAGTTAGTCTCCTTGAGAGGAAGATCGTAGAATCGAGGGAAGTCGAGGAGTTAACGTGGGGTGTTAATTTTGGGAAATACTTCCCTCCATATAACGGGTGGAGAGGCCATTACCTCTTCAAGTGTGAGCTGTCAAGTTGAGATTAATAAATACGTGTTGCCTCAAGTCAACCGTCTCTGTCGTCATACAAGGCCACTACAAATGGAAAGGTGCGGGTGTAGAAAGAGGATGTAGATGAGGGACGAAACGCGGATTATTAAATATCTTGACTCCCAATCGCGCGGTGTGTCACCGAATTTCCCTGGTTCTAACTGCTCTCTAGTTATGATTCTTTAACGAGAATGTTAGGTTTACGACAGAGCACTCTGCACCTCCGATTAGCAAGGCTGGCTACGTACAGTGGCGAAATAAGTTCAACATATATGTACATACATGAGCGACTGGCATTATCTTCTTGGTTCTTTCGGTAAAGTCACGTAGAATGGAAATAATGAAATAAAATAAAAAAACATAATAAAATAATTCTCACGACGTTTCGGCTACAACGCAAGCAGCCGTCCTCAGGTGAAGAACAGGTCTGTCGAGAAGACAGAGTCTGAATGACACACCCCAGGCTTGGAGCGTCTATTTAAGCTGGGTTGGAGGGGGGGGAGAGCGCCTTGACAAAATAATTTGCATATCAAGAGGAATTTAGCATATTTATGGGAAATGCAGATATGCGATTAGTACTACTTGTGAAATGCGTAGGAGGTGGGCGGGGGGTTTAAAGTCATATTATGCCCGTGCATTATGCAGGATTAGCAGCATCAAAGGGAGGGGATAGGTGAAGGATCCTGTTGAGGAGCCTTTCAAAACCATCACCTTACCCTACATTGCTGGGGTCACAAGAAAGATCTCCAAAATCCTGATAAAACACAAGATCCAGGTCCGATTCAACACAGTACATAAAATCTGTGATCTGGTCCTGTCTGTAAAAGATATGGTTCCAGACATACAGTACCCTGGCGTCTACAAAATAAGTTGCCTCTGTGGTAGCAGTTGCATTAGAGAAACCAAACGACATGTCTCGGACCGCATCCGTGAACATAAAGCAGACTTGAAACACGGTAGGACAAACACCTCAGCCGTGGCAGATCCCTGTTACAATTCAGTGGGCTCACATGATATTGACTTCTCCAAGACAGAGGTTCGCTGCAAGCCATCTGGCTACCATGAGAGATTCGTTCATGAGGCGATCCACATATACAAACACAGAGACAATTTCAACTGAGAAGATGGATTCTGGCTCAGCAATCATTGGAAGGACGTAATCAACCATTTCGGATCTTAACTGATTGTGTTCAGGTTTACGGTGACTTTCAGACCGCAGTCCACTCACTGGCATTGACTATAGATCTTGTATTCTCCGCAGGGAATAATTTATTTGCTCCGCTGCAAGTCTCCTACCACCACTCTCCCATTGACATATTTCCTTGCTTCCTCTTAGTATGTTTCACGTGACGGTCAATGGTATAGTGTATAGCGGATTGTATAATAATAATTAGTATAAAATTGTAATGTTTTATACAATGTACTAGCTGTACTACCCGGCTTCGCCCGGGACTTGTATCCACCACGCCCGGCCGCCTTTGTCTCCCCAGTGGCGATGTTAATAGGCCACACCAGTTACTCGTTTTGAGGCTGAGTCCCTCCCTCACCGCTCTCCCTCCCTCACCGCTCTCCCTCCCTCACCGCTCTCCCTCCCTCACCGCTCTCCCTCCCTCACCGCTCTCCCTCCCTCACCGCTCTCCCTCCCTCACCGCTCTCCCTCCCTCACCGCTCTCCCTCCCTCACCGCTCTCCCTCCCTCACCGCTCTCCCTCCCTCACCGCTCTCCCTCCCTCACCGCTCTCCCTCCCTCACCGCTCTCCCTCCCGCACCGCTCTCCCTCCCTCACCGCTCTCCCTCCCTCACCGCTCTCCCTCCCTCACCGCTCTCCCTCCCTCACCGCTCTCCCTCCCTCACCGCTCTCCCTCCCTGACCGCTCTCCCTCCCTGACCGCTCTCCCTCCCTCACCGCTGAACGTGACACTTTTTTACAGAATGGCCGTGTTGGGTGGTGGAGGGTTACAACACATTAATAAATAAGGCGATCTAAAGCCAATAACGTTGTTTATGATTAATGCTCGCGAAAGGCCACGTGTTACAAATTGACAAACTTTACTTAATAAGCAGGCTACAGTGTACATGATAGACTGGCAGTACACCCACCCAGCTGAATAAGCAGGCTACAGTCTACATTATAGACTGCCAGTACGCTCAGCCAGCTTAATGAGTATTTGTAGAATGAACATTGAAAGAATGCAATATTGGCGCGTGGGGTTTAAACATAATTATACAGTTGTTTTTTAATGATAAATGGTAATTGTTGTGGTTTTACGCTTGAACACACCGGTGGGCTAAAGCAGTGAAGTCTAAGTCACTTATGAACGTGACAATTTTTTGCAGATTGGGCGTGTCGGGTGGTGGATAAGGGTTACAACACATTAATAAATAAGGCGATCTAAACCCAATAACGTTGTTTATGAATAATGTTTGCGAAAGCGTACGTGTTACAAATTGACTAACTTTACTTAATAACCAGGCTACAGTCTACATGATAGACTGGCAGTACACCCACCCAGCTGAATAAGCAGGCTACAGTCTACATTATAGACGGCCAGTACGCTCAACCAGCTTAATGACTATTTGTACAAAGAACATTGAAAGAATCGATTATAATAACCAGGCTACAGTCGACATTATAGACTGCCAGTACACCCACTCAGCTTCATAAGCAGGCTAAAGTCTACATGATAGAGTGGCAGTACGCTGACGGAGCTTAATAAGCAGGCTACAGTCTACATTATAGACTGGCAGTACACTCACCCCATTTAATAAGCAGGCTACAGTCTACATTATAGACTGGTAGTACGCTCACCCAGCTTAATGACTATTTGTACAGTCAACATTTCAAGAATAGATTGTTGGCGCGTTGGGTTTAAAAGTAATATTAATTGCACACATTGTGGTGGGGGGGGGAGTGAAGAGTACGTGAAACTTTGATGAATTTACCTCAGAGTCGCGTGGTGGGTGTCGAGGCCTAGTAGCGTGCAGAGCCTCCGGCCTCGCCAAAACTGCCCACCCGGCAGAGGCAAGGTACGGGTGCTGTTCCCCCCCCCCCCCCCCGCGCTACAATAATACTGTCTAATCGCTATTATTTTATTATCTACGGAGCCTATAATAGTAATTGAACACATTGGGGTGGGAGGGGAGTGAAGAGGACGTGAAACTGTGCTGAATTTACGTCAGAGTCGCGTGTTAATGCGTGCGCCTATTTTTAAGGGGAATTTAAAATGGCGTCCACCCCGCGCCGAAGGCGTCGCTACCCGTTGGCAGGGGCAACCGCCAGTCCAATGAAAGCGGCAAAGGTGTGGCTACCCGTTGCCAGGGGCAACCGCCGTCTAATGAAACTGCTGCCCGCGGCGAAGGCGTCGCTACCCGTTGCCAGGGGCAACCGCCGTCCAATGAAAGCGGCGAAGGCGTCGCTACCCGTTGCCAGGGGCAACCGCCGTCCAATGAAAGTGCGTATGGTCCGGCGACACACAGACACACAGACAGACAGACAGATTCACGATTTTATATATATAGATAAGGTAATATCGTAATTGTATAGTGAATATACAGCAGTGTGATATACAGTAGGGTGGTTAGAATAATACATAGTGTAATATTACAATGTATAAGGTATAGGGTGGTGTATAGCAATACAGTATGTAATTTAATGTTGGGTTTGTCTATGGCAGTATATAGTATGGGGTATACCCGTGTGATATAAGAGAATAAAGTTTAGCTGGAAGCATATTATATTTTTTGCGACATAGAATTGTAATGTATTACTTACTGTTAGTAGCTCAGCTTATTGAAGAGTGTATTTAGTATACTGATGATACTATGTAGTTTATACTTTAGTTGTTTACGTGGTGGTTTAGTTACTGCAGCTACATACTATTAACATTCTTAATTTTTGAGCTTTCGTGACTGCAGGAATTATTCTTTGGTTCTTTCGGTAAAGTCACGTATAAAGATAAAATAATAAATTAAATAATACCATAATACGACGTTTCGATTGCAACACAAGCAATCATCATCAGGTATAAAAGAAATAGCAACAAAAATCTAACCAGAGAACTATAGACAGACATATAAGCAGACAGATATCACAAAGATACACAGAGAGAGAATACGTATCGGCACAAAGAGAGAGGTCGTCTCTGTGACGAGGCCTTAAATATAGAGAGGGGGCGGGGGCGGAGAGAGGCAGGGGGCAGAGAAAAAATTAGCATGTCAATGAGTGGACGACGACGTGGCAAGCTTGAACATTAGGAGAAAGATTAAAATTAGGAGAAAGACTATTAACATTCCTTCCCTTTATTAATGCTACCCCCTATCCCCTCCCTTTGATGCTGCTAATCCTGCACAATGCACGGGCATAATATGACTTTAAACCCCCCGCCCACCTCCTACGCATTTCACAAGTAGTACTAATCTCGTATCTGCATTTCCCATAAATATGCTAAATTCCTCTTGATATGCAAATTATTTTGTCAAGGCGCTCTCCCCCCCTCCATCCCAGCTTAAATAGACGCTCCAAGCCTGGGGTGTGTCATTCAGACTCTGTCTTCTCGACAGACCTGTTCTTCACCTGAGGACGGCTGCTTGAGTTGTGGCCGAAACGTCGTGAGAATAATTTTATTAGGTTTAATTTTTATTATTTTATTATTTCCATTCTACGTTACTTTACCGAAAGAACCAAGAAGATGAATCCCTGCAGTCACGAAAGCTTTAAATCGAGACTTGCATTATGTCACATCTCAGACAATCAAACGGAAGCCCCAGTGGCAGCTGTCCCTGTGCAGCACGAGGTGACTCGTTAGTCTGCCACCAGGGGAGGGGGGCGATGATTGCTGCTTTGTGTAATCTCAATCGAGTCATTTGTGGGTAGTTTTTCTAATTTGGCAAAAATCAGACCGTGACGCCGCCACAAAATGGCTGACTCGTTTCAAATGATGCCAGGGAATCTTTCACGTCCACTAGGAGGCACGTGGCATACATCAGCACGGTAATTTTACCCACCATAATATTGCAAGCCGCTGCGATAAGCGGCGAACGCGCTACCACTGCGCCGTGAGGAACGACGCCCTCGGCTACGCGCTGTACGCGTAGGGAGTGAGAATGCGTTGCTCACGCTGTGGATGTCTCCCTGGCCCTCGGTGTCGAGCAGCAGGAGGCACTTCTCTTGGTCCCGTGGGTGTGGCCGTAACCAGACCCAGATGCCCTTTGTGTGAGCCTCCACCGTGCTCCCCAGGGGAAACGCTGGCATTGTAGAGACAAGGGATTCGAGGGGACACACAATCCCGCACTTGTGTAAATGCCACAGAAACACTCCTCCTCGACATAGAAAAAATCAGCACGCTCCTATAATCCACCGCTCATTCACTCTGCTCACTCGCTCACCGGTGGCCAGTCACCTCCTGGACATCTGTGAAAAAGAGCTCATCGGATTCCTCCAGTATAAATAGATATTCTGATTCTATAACTCTTCTGTCGCTACTTCCACGCTTACGGTTCAAATGAACGTTACTCACGGATTCCTCCACCCATGTTGAGGACTTGGTGTATCAGACTGTGCTGTGTCTCATCCATACTGTTCAACCACCACGCTGCAGGTCACAACAACACACCCACACACTCGGTCACTCAACACACTGCAGGTCACACGTAACATGTTTCTTTCTGCTTCTTCCCTCGCCCTGCTCCACTTTGGAAATCCTTCCCATCGTATCTTTTCGCCAAGCTCTTTTAATAATAACCCGCCTCAATTGAAGAAATGTGGTCCACTTATCTCTTACGACTCTTATCTCTTACGTTAACAGCGCTGTTTATTGCTGGTCGTATGACGTGTCGGGCGTTTAGGTGCGTGCTCAGAAACTATGTTTAACAGACAAAGGGGTAATGTGGGAGAGTCATGCTTGTGACACACACGTGACACAGACATGCACATGCGTGACACGCACGTGGACTATTCTTGTTCGTGTGGGCAAATTGGTCCACGTTCAGCTGACTCACACAAGTGCGGGAGAGCACGTGCTTGTCACTGTGGAGATACATGGGTGCTGTCACTGTGGAGATTGGCAGGTGACGTCACTGTGGCTTTCGACAGGTTTCGTCGCTGTGTAGATCGACAGGTGACGTCACTGTGAAGATCGACAGGTGACGTCACTGTGGAGATCGACAGGTGACGTCACTGTGAAGATCGACAGGTGACGTCACTGTGGAGATCGACAGGTGACGTCAGTGTGGAGATCGACATGTGACGTCACTGTGGAGATCGACAGGTGACGTCGCTGTGGATATCGACAGGTGACATCACTGGATATCGACAGATGACGTCACTGTGAAGACCGACAGGTGACGTCACTGTGTAGATCGACAGGTGACGTCGCTGTGGAGATTGACAGGTGACGTCACTGGAGATCGACAGGTGACGTCACTGCGGAGATCGACAGGTGACGTCACTGCGGAGATCGACACGTGACGTCACTGCGGAGATCGACAGGTGACGTCACTGCGGAGATTGACACGTGACGTCACTGCGGAGATCGACAGGTGACGTCACTGCGGAGATCGACAGGTGACGTCACTGCGGAGATCGACAGGTGACGTCGCTGTAAAGATCGACAGGTGACATCACTGCGGAAATCGACAGGTGACGTCACTATGGAAATCGACAGGTGACGTCACTGCGGAGATCGACAGGTGACGTCACTATGGAAATCGACAGGTGACGTCGCTGTGGAAATCGACAGGTGACGTCACTATGGAAATCGACAGGTGACGTCGCTGTGGAAATCGACAGGTGACGTCGCTGCGGAAATCGACAGGTGACGTCACTATGGAAATCGACAGGTGACGTCGCTGTGGAGATCGACAGGTGACGTCGCTGCGGAAATCGACAGGTGACGTCACTATGGAAATCGACAGGTGACGTCGCTGTGGAGATCGACAGGTGACGTCACTGTGAAGATTGACAGGTGACGTCACTGTGGAGATCGACAGGTGACGTCGCTGTGGATATCGACAGGTGGCATCACTGGATATCGACAGGTGACGTCACTGTGAAGACCGACAGGTGACGTCACTGTGTAGATCGATAGGTGACGTCACTGCGGAGATCGACACGTGACGTCACTGCGGAGATCGACAGGTGACGTCACTGCGGAGATCGACAGGTGACGTCACTGAGGAGATCGACAGGTGATGTCACTGCGGAGATCGACAGGTGACGTCGCTGTGGAGATCAACAGGTGACAACGCTGTAAAGATCGACAGGTGACGTCACTGCGGAAATCGACAGGTGACGTCACTATGGAAATCGACAGGTGACGTCACTGTGGAGATCGACAGGTGACGTCACTATGGAAATCGACAGGTGACGTCGCTGTGGAAATCGACAGGTGACGTCACTATGGAAATCGACAGGTGACGTCGCTGTGGAAATCGACAGGTGACGTCGCTGCGGAAATCGACAGGTGACGTCACTATGGAAATCGACAGGTGACGTCGCTGTGGAGATCGACAGGTGACGTCGCTGCGGAAATCGACAGGTGACGTCACTGTGGAGATTGACAGGTGACGTCACTATGGAAATCGACAGGTGACGTCACTGCGGAGATCGACAGGTGACGTCACTGCGGAGATCGACAAGTGACGTCACTGCGGAGATCGACAGGTGACGTCACTGCGGAGATCGACAGGTGACGTCACTGCGGAGATCGACAGGTGACGTCACTGCGGAGATTGACAGGTGACGTCACTGCGGAGATCGACAGGTGACGTCGCTGTGAAGATCGACAGGTGACGTCACTGCGGAGATCGACAGGTGATGTCACTGTGAAGATCGACAGGTGACGTCACTGCGGAGATCGACTGGTGACATCAAAGTGTAGATCGACAGGTGACGTTACTGCGGAGATCGACAGGTGACGTCACTGTGGTGATCGACAGGTGACATCGCTGTGGACATCGGAACATGACGTCACTGTGGAGATCGACAGGTGACGTTACTGTGTAGATCGACAGGTGACGTCACTGTGGAGATCGACAGGTGACGTTACTGTGTAGATCGACAGGTGACGTCGCTGTGAAGATCGACAGGTGACGTCGCTGTGAAGATCGACAGGTGACGTCACTGTGAAGATCGACAGGTGATGTCACTGTGGAGATCGACAGGTGACGTCACTGTGAAGATCGACAGGTGACGACACTGTGGAGATCGACAGGTGACGTCACTGTGAAGATCGACAGGTGACGTCACTGCGAAGATCGACAGGTGACGTCACTGCGGAGATCGACAGGTGACGTCACTGCGGAGATCGACAGGTGACGTCACTGCGGAGATCGACAGGTGACGTCACTGCGGAGATCGACAGGTGACAGCACTGCGGAGATCGACAGGTGACGTCACTGCGGAGATCGACAGGTGATGTCACTGTGAAGATCGACAGGTGACGTCACTGCGGAGATCGACAGGTGACATCAAAGTGTAGATCGACAGGTGACGTTACTGCGGAGATCGACAGGTGACGTCACTGTGGTGATCGACAGGTGACATCGCTGTGGACATCGGAACATCACGTCACTGTGGAGATCGACAGGTGACGTTACTGTGTAGATCGACAGGTGACGTCACTGTGGAGATCGACAGGTGACGTTACTGTGTAGATCGACAGGTGACGTCACTGTGAAGATCGACAGGTGACGTCGCTGTGAAGATCGACAGGTGACGTCACTGTGAAGATCGACAGGTGATGTCACTGTGGAGATCGACAGGTGACGTCACTGTGAAGATCAACAGGTGACGACACTGTGGAGATCGACAGGTGACGTCACTGTGAAGATCGACAGGTGACGTCACTGTGAAGATCGACAGGTGACGTCACTGTGAAGATCGACAGGTGACGTCACTGTGAAGATCGACAGGTAACGTCACTGTGAAGATCGACAGGTGACGTCGCTGTGAAGATCGACAGGTGACGTCACTGTGGAGATCGACAGGTGACGTCACTGTGTAGATCGACAGGTGACATCGCTGTGAAGATCGACAGGTGACGTCACTGTGAAGATCGACAGGTGATGTCACTGTGAAGATCGACAGGTGACGTCACTGTGAAGATGGAGAGGTGACGTCACTGTGGAGATCGACAGGTGACGTCACTGTGAAGATCGACAGGTGACGTCACTGTGAAGATCGACAGGTGACGTCACTGTGAAGATGGAGAGGTGACGTCACTGTGTAGATCGACAGGTGACGTCACTGTGAAGATCGACAGGTGACGTCACTGTGTAGATCGACAGGTGACGTCGCTGTGTAGATCGACAGGTGACGTCGCTGTGTAGATCGACAGGTGACGTCGCTGTGAAGATCGACAGGTGACGTCACTGTGTAGATCGACAGGTGACGTCGCTGTGTAGATCGACAGGTGACGTCGCTGTGTAGATCGACAGGTGACGTCACTGTGAAGATCGACAGGTGACGTCGCTGTGTAGATCGACAGGTGACGTCGCTGTGAAGATCGACAGGTGACGTCGCTGTGTAGATCGACAGGTGACGTCACTGTGTAGATCGACAGGTGACGTCACTGTGGAGATCGACAGGTGATGTCACTATGGAAATCGACAGGTGATGTCACTGCGGAGATCGACAGGTGACGTCACTGCGGAGATCGACAGGTGACGTCGCTGTGGAGATCAACAGGTGACAACGCTGTAAAGATCGACAGGTGACGTCACTGCGGAAATCGACAGGTGACGTCACTATGGAAATCGACAGGTGACGTCACTGTGGAGATCGACAGGTGACGTCACTATGGAAATCGACAGGTGACGTCGCTGTGGAAATCGACAGGTGACGTCACTATGGAAATCGACAGGTGACGTCGCTGTGGAAATCGACAGGTGACGTCGCTGCGGAAATCGACAGGTGACGTCACTATGGAAATCGACAGGTGACGTCGCTGTGGAGATCGACAGGTGACGTCGCTGCGGAAATCGACAGGTGACGTCACTGTGGAGATTGACAGGTGACGTCACTATGGAAATCGACAGGTGACGTCACTGCGGAGATCGACAGGTGACGTCACTGCGGAGATCGACAAGTGACGTCACTGCGGAGATCGACAGGTGACGTCACTGCGGAGATCGACAGGTGACGCCACTGCGGAGATCGACAGGTGACGTCACTGCGGAGATTGACAGGTGACGTCACTGCGGAGATCGACAGGTGACGTCGCTGTGAAGATCGACAGGTGACGTCA